TGGTCCTACGGAGGGTTTAGGGCTCAAAATTATATTTTTCACTACTGTTAACACATGTTGACGAATGAAATTCATAGTGGAACCTGAAATCACAAAAGCCACACCTGTGTAAACACAATAGTCTACAGATTACTTAGTAGCTTACCAAATAATCCATATGATTGAGCTTTTTAATAAGGTCTTCCTGCTACCTAAAACCTAAAGGGATTAGGCCTAAGTATATATTCAGCCTACACACCTAATAGAAATACAGAAATAGAAGTGCAGACACTCTTCCTACACGCATCCATGTCTATAAATTTGATGTGCATGTCTTGATTGATTTTAGTAGCCTTGGCCATACACAATATGCCTAGAGGCCTATGAAATTATCATTTTGGTCTTGTTGCTTTTTAAGTTGTTAACTTGGCTAAATTGAAGTAAACTTTTTGATGCATTTGGATCTCAGCTGAGCTAAGTTAATTCTGTTAAAATATTTACCAAGTCTAATTTTGTTTTATGGTAGGCCTAATATGTTGGACAATGGGTAGACTTTCGTATCTGTTGGCACAAACATCAGAATGAAAATATCGATTATTCGATATATCGTTTGGTTAGTTAGGTAAGGTTAACCTAACCTAACTAACCAAACGATACCGTATATCAAATGAAACAATAGAATAATCAATATTTTCATTCAGGTGTTTGTGCCAACAGATATGGAAGTCTACCCTGGACTATTACGGCCAACGCCTTTCTAAACTCTTATAAACTTAAGGTCAATTTAGCTAAAAAAACAGGAAAATGTAAAAAAAATTGAATCTGCCATGAACCTCTGCAAGGCTGCGTGGTCATTGGTAAATGAATCTAGAGGCATACCAACATCCAAGACTGTAAGGTGTAATGCTAGTCCGGATGACTTTAATAGCTTTCTGCTGGGAAATGTAGAGCGTGTCTTAAACACCATCCCCGTAACAAACCAAGATCCCTCACTTAATGTAAGACGGGTACCCCCAACCATTAGCCTAACACAATGGCAACCTATCGACCAAAGGGACATAATAAGGATTGTGTCCAGGCTTAAGTCATCCAAAAGCCAAGATATATATATATGACCACAATAGTCCTGAAGGCCATAGTAAATGAAATCGCAGAGCCACTAGCCAGTATACTCAACCAATGTCTGAGAGTAGGTGTCTTTCCCGACATATTAAAGATGGCCCGTACCGTCCCTGTGTACAAAAAGGGAGAACCATCAGACCTAAATAGCTACAGGCCCATCTCGCTGATACCTGTGTTTGGTAAGGTTCTGGAGGCTGTAATGAAAACCCAGTTGGTGGATTTTCAAGAGTTGTACACCTAGCTACTTAGAAAACTCACCCACATGATAAGTCCACACTATTTGCTGGTGATATACCACGCTCTCTTCCATAGTGTATTGAGCTATGGTCTACTGCTATGGGGACACGCGCCTGCTTGTGAGGATATCCTCATACTCCAGAAGAGGGCAATTCGTGTGATTACTTTTAGTAAGAGACTGGATCACTGTAAGCCGCTCTTCATGAAAACAAAAGTCCTAACAGTCTATAACCAATATATCCTTCTGTGTTCCGTCCATGTTAAAGGCAGCCTATTAAATTTCCCTACAAGAAGTACCATACATGCACATCAAACCAGGCGTAACAATGAAATATTGGTACTTGAGTATTAAACGGAGGCCACCTAACCTATAGTTTCTTAACTTAGCTATGATAATACTGATTATTAGTAAACCTTCATTCGATGTTTTCACTATCAGCAAGTTTGGTTGGTTAGGTTAGGTTATGATAGTTTAATTTTATAACTGATATAGCTGACCAGACACAGTGACAGGCGATGACAGGTAATGGCGCGCGCTCCGGTCAACGACCCTGACCTTGGCCTACTTGGAGGGGATTCTCCGAGTAGGCACATGACTCATCTGATAACGCTCGACTCACAACAATACTAGAATAGTTCTACTACAACATCTATAACAATTTAACCCTCTATAAGTGCCGTGGCGCGTTTCGTAATGGTGGCCTCCGTTTAATACTCAAGTACCGAAATATCCCTTTCTGCAGACTCAAAAACAAAAAATTCATACCCGACCATGGCACTCATGATCTACAATAGTCTACCCCAAACACTGAAGAACCTATCTCCTAAATTTAGCACTGCCCTGAAGACATGGCTAAAAGATAGGCCATATTATAGCCTGAAAGATTTTTTTGAAAGTGTGGGTGCATCCACCGCCATGACCTAAAAGTTTTATCTAGGCTAAAGAGAAAAGTTTTTGTTTTTAGTAATATGTAAATAGTATTGACACAACCTATCCAGCATCGTTGGTCTTGGTGACGAAGGAGGTAATTAAGGTAATTCTATAAATTTAGGGAGTAAAAGCAAAAGGTTGTTTAATTTATTTGTGTATAGGCTGACTTAGCCTACTAAGCCCGGTGAATGGGGAGGGGATGAAGTAAACTATTCCCGTTTGGTTGGGGGGGGGGGGGGTTTGTTACGTGACACAGAAAAAAAAACATTACTCCAAAGTAAAATTGGCCAAATTGGTTCCGCAGAGAACCTGTGATATAATAACGGATTAAGTTAAATGAAATGTTGATTTTGGTTCGATATCCCTCCGAGGGTCACGCGTCAAAAAATAGACGCACAACACACTTTGTGTAGGGTTACGCGTCTAGTTTAAGACGCACAAACATCGTTTACGGCGAAGGCTCTATGACTGACTGAATCGGATTCAACTGGATCGAGTTAGGTATCGTTCTTTTCATTAGATTCTAAGCTTTCTAAAGGTCTGTCTCTAAGCGCTGTTTGTTCTCTGAGCCGATCGTAATTGTTAGCAGACAGCTGACGTGCATATTAGTAAACAGGTTACTTAACCTCGGACCGATGACTGATGTGTTTTATTATGTTTATCATTGTTTTAGTGTTAAAAATCAAAAGTAGTGATATACGTGGTGCATTATAAGAAGATTTAAGTGGTTTTGAAGTGCTGGTTGATGATCCTGAAGAAGTAGGTAGTGATATTGATGTAAATTATCAGCCAGATTCCTAGCTATGGTTAGGCTATGCATTCTTAGCTAAACGCTATGTACTGAAATCCGTTTTTCGCTCATAACTTATTTATTTGATAACTTACCTCGCTATATGATTATATATTTGTAATCCTCATTAAATTTAGAACAAAGTGGCTATTTTCAAATATTTATAGGCCTATAATTTAGGGGTATACAATTTCATTGAGCGTGAACTTATTTTTTTTTGAAAATTTTCGAAATTATATTTTTTCTTAGGCCTACCTAAAAATTTTTTTTGAAAAAATGTTCCTTATGTTTTATATATAATATTGAAGCCCATGATTTTCCAAACAAAATGGTATATAGAACATTAGAATTAACATTGTTTTAAGCTTCTCAGATCCGTTTTAATAAACGCAGAGGATACGCGTCCGGTAACCGGACGTGGATTAGGCGTCCGGCAGGTTACTGTCATAACCTAACCTAACCAACCAAACTTGCTGATAGTGGAAAAAATCAAATGAAGGTTCAATTCTCTTCATAACATAAAATTATAAATGCCAAAAATTCTAACAAAAGATGTACAGTTAAGAAGAAATTACATTCAAAGCAAAATCTGTGACAAAAAGTTAAAGTTACCGATGGGTTACGAACCGGGGACCTCTCGCATATCAGTCGAGCACTCTATCCACTACACCACGAACACTGCTGGCTGAACATCGTATCATTGTGGTAATGGCGTCCCGGGACCCCCTACCGGACGCCTAATCCATGTCTGGTTACCGGACGCCTAATCCACGTCTGGTTACCGGACGCGTATCCTCTGTGTTTAATAAAACCTTGCAAAGGGGCCAAAAATAGGTGGACATTAAGGCCTAAACTATGGACCTTTGGAGGGATATAGGTTTATCACTTTCAAATTATTATTTTTTCAAAGTATTTATTATCGAATTCAAAACAAAATTGGAAATAAATGCTAGAGATTTGTATTTGTTGCCTAGGCCGATTGCAAAGCTTACCTTCTGAAATTCTGGTTTCAAGATTTCTGAGTGGTCATATCCTCTTCCTCCACTGTTACAATCCTTAACAAGCTTTTTTACAAAAACAACACTCCACTGCACGTTTAAAACTTCAAAGTCGTTGATAAATAAATAATATCAGGTTAGGTATAAGTTTTCTTTTGGATTGGTTCAGAAAATATATTGAAGTAAAATTAAAACGAAAACTTAACCCTAATGTGTAGAACCTAAGGGAGTATGATTTATCTATGGTAGAACGTAAGTGAAGTGCAAGTGAAGAGAATGGAGGTGAGGGCAGGGAGGAGATCCAGATGAGAAGAAGAAGAAGAACAAGAACTATTAAAACATTTTGTCTACTGCTTGACTTTTTTACTCTGCTAGAGAGGCTAGCTTTTATTTTTGATAGTACCATGCAACTTTAAAGTTTGTTTCTGAATTCCTCTCTTAGTTGCTTCCTGAAAATTGTTATTTACTAATAATTAAGGATAGCTGGTACTGTTGCTTTTAATGCATTCCTCCTATTATTATTTTTTAATCCACCATTTATTGTTGCTCTATTTTATTTCTTTGTTTTGAAGAAGTACATATTTAGAATACAGTCCAGTGGAAGAATGTTGAAGGTCCTTAGAGAGAAATGCAGGATAGGACCTAGAAGGATTAAACATTAAGGAGAGGGCACGCTAATAGAGATATACGTGTTGCGGAGAAGCCAGGTTTGTTTACTTTTGACTTGAGCTGCTTGAAAAGGTGTTTATGATTATGAAAATTAACGTTTTGTGAGTGTGCTGAAGCTGATTTGTTATTAGGTATTGACAATTAGCCTAAATGTTTTGCGTGCAAGAATTAATTATGAAGATTTAAATGCTTACTTAACCTATATTTTTCGGATTCCTCAAGAGAGAGTGATTGTTAGGTTAGGTTAGGTGTTATGTTGGAGTAGTGGATTGGAATGGCGAATGGTAAAGACGTACAAGTTTGTCCAGCTTGTAAAAATGTCGTTTTAGACTCTGACGACGCGGTTGAATGCGAATTTTTCTGTAAGAAATGGTATCATTGTGCGTGCGTTGATATCAATAATGAAGAATATGTACTAATGTCTCAGCTCGCCGAAAAATCAAAGTGGGCATGTAATACTTGTGAATTGAGGTTGGGTAAGATTATTACCAAAGTCAGCGATTTTGACAGCCTAATTGACTTACACGCCACGGTGATAAACCTAATTACGGTAGTCAAAGAAGTGGTTAGTGATAACATTGCTATTAAAGATAAATTAGATCAACTGACGAAGCCTTTGTCGCAGGATAGGCCTAGGACTAATGAGTTTAGGGGAGGAGTAAATCTGACTTCTGCGATTCTCTCCCCCTCCGATTTGTTGAATAAAGATCAACTAAGTACTACTGGGAAATTAGAAGATTCTGTTTTGATAGTAGACAATCAGCCAGAGCCAGTATCTGTCAATATTCAAAGTTGTCCTTCTCACGTCAATGAAGAAACAAACATTTTTGTCTCTCCACCTAGCAACAGATCTTATAGTTCTGTGACCAAGAGTAAATCCAAAGTAAAACAAACAGAAAATGTGAAGGTTATAAATAACTCAGCACCTATTTTTAGTGACACATTTACAAGAGTTGAAACAAGGAAGGGTAAGTTTGATAGAAGGGTAAAACCTACAATTATAGGCTCAAACTTGTTGAAGTCAACCATTAAGGCTGCAGAAAGAGTTAAAAGTATTTTTGTGTCTAGATGTGCTCCGGAAACAACCGCAGGTGAAATCGATAGTTTTTTAATAAATGAAAACATAATTACTAACCTAAAAACTGAAAAACTTGTGACTAAGCTTGACTTTTACTCTAGCTTTAAAGTTAAGGTTCCCGAAAAGGACTTCGAACGGGTCTTAAACCCAGACTTCTGGCCTAGTGGGTTGTTTGTCAAGGAATTTGAGGTACTGAAACCCAGTCATAGGCCGCGCCCTTTAGCCAAGCCTAGATCTGTACCCGAGAGACAGGACTCCGCTAAGGTTGTAAACAATCCTACTTACCCTAGTAGAGTTTTTTTAGGGAATCATTCAACTCGTCAACCAGTGAATTAATCCCCTGCATTAGGCTTCTGCATCAGAATGTCGAAGGACTAGGTAATAAAATTGATGCAGTTGAGCACTTTGTGTATGATGTTCAGCCTCATTTCCTAATTTTAAGTGAACATCAGCGAACAGATAAGGATTTGGAACTCTTTAAATTCGATAATTATAAACTGATATCATTTTTCTGCCGAAAGAATCACAAGGGTGGGGGTATAGTTCTCTATGCACATTCTGACATATCTAGCCTTGTTTCTACCATTCCCTGGACTAATGAATACTGTGCCGACCTAGACTGCGAGTTAGTCATGGGTAAACTTGTTATCTTAAATTTTGTGATCCTAATTTTAGGTATCTACAGATCTGGTAACGGGAACTTTGACAACTTCTTTCAGAGATTTGATGCTGTTCTCAATAGAGTTAATGGGCCAAACAAAGGTAACCGTGCAAACATTGTAATTTTGGGTGACTTGAACATTAATTCACTATGTACAAATAGGCTTTATATGGATTTCAGCGATCTGGTAAAAGTGTATGATTTAGATGATGTTCTTGCAACTGTTCCAACTAGATTAGCACATAACTCGGTTGGTAGTTCAATCGACCATGTTATTACGAATGCCAAAAACTTTGAAGCCTATGTTGTTGATGGTGGTATTTCTGACCATTTTGGTCAGGTAATTGATGTATTTGATGACTGCCTATCTCATGTAAATATTAAAAGTAGCATAAGAAGAACTTCTAAAAGAAGTTTCTCTGATAAAAATGTAAATAGCCTAAAAATGTGTCTAGATACCGAAAGTTGGGAGAATGTTTATTCCTCTAATGATGTAAATGTTAAATGGGAAAATTTTGCTGGTACACTGCAGTGGTACCTTGATTGGATCTGTCCAAAAAAATCGGTCAAAGTAAATGTTAAAAATAGTGACAGCAATGGTAACAAGTTGTCCAATAAGGTTAGGTTAAGCAATGAAACTTTGAAATTAAAGGAAGATATGTTATACCAATCATACCTTTTCAAACAAACAGGCAATCTAGCTTTTAAGGATTCTTATAAGCAACTCAAAAACAAGTTTAGACTTGAGGTAAGAAATGAGAAGGCTAGCTTAATAAAATCTAAGATAGACTCCTCTCAGAATGTTTCAAAAAGTGCTTGGGCTCTGGTCAATAATCTCAGGTTGACAAATGTAAGTAAAAATGAGTTTGTAAATATTTCTCTGAAAGATGAGGAAAATGTTGTTGTAAATAGCCCTGTATGTGTAAGTAACTTGTTCAATGATTTTTTTGTAAACCCATTTGAGGGTTGTTCTAAAGGCCAAATCACATCTCTGTTGAAACCAAATAGTAGGGATGAGACTCCTATGTGCCCTGTGGTAACCTTGGATGAAACATTGCAGCTGATCAACGGCCTTACTAACAAACTATCTTGTGGATGGGATGACTTTTCTCCAAAGCTTTTGAAAGATTGTAAATATGAACTTGCTCCTATTTTGTGTCATTTGTTACAATATACAGTTGCTAGTGGTATTTTCCCCGATGTTTTAAAACTAACTGTTGTAAAACCATTGCACAAGAAGGGTCCGAAAGATAATGTTTCCAATTATCGGCCCATCTCTTTGACATCCACTTTCAGTAAGGTTGTGGAGAAACTTATGCTTAAGCACCTAAAAAAGTTCACTATTGAACATGACATAATACCTGAATACCAACACGGCTTTAGAGAGAGTAGGAGTACTACCTCGGCTGCTGCAGAATTTGTCCACACTGCCTTGAACAAGTTGGATAGTGGTTGTAAAGTGGCTGGGGTGTGTTTGGATCTCTCTAAAGCCTTTGACAGGGTCAACCATGCAATCCTGGTCAATAGGTTAGTTGAGATTGGCCTCCCTTCTTGGCTGACATTGTTGATTAGCAGCTTTTTAACCAATCGTATTCAGTATACAGAGATTTTTTATGACAATGGTTGGTCATTGGACAATGTCATGTCAGAACAAAAACATGTTGTTTCAGGAGTCCCACAAGGGTCCATTTTGGGCCCTTATCTGTATAATATCTATGTTAGTAATTTTCCTGCTATCAATAAGGTTGAAATTAGTATGTATGCTGACGACACGTCAGGTGTATGCTGGGCTCAGTCTTTTGATGAACTCAAGCAGGGCATGGCCGAATTTGTACATAAAGCCAGCTCATATTTTGAAAATATTAATCTCAAAGTCAACCTAGATAAGACAGAAATTGTAGTTTTCGGATTGAGTAGTACGGGCATTCCTCTGATAGATTTAGTTAAGGATGATGTGATCTTTGAAAGTAAAGAGTGCTGTAAGTTTTTGGGACTATATATAGATCAGACCTTAACTTTTAAGAATCATATATCTCATGTAAGATCTAGACTTTTAAGTGGAATCAGCCTCCTCAGAAGAATATCTTTTTATTTAGATACAGATACGTTAAAAACAATTTATTTTGGTGTCATATTTCCTTTCTTGTCTTATGGCCTTATTTTCTGGGGAAGTTCTCCCGACTGTAATTTACATACAATTTTTGTTCTCCAGAAAAGAGCAATCAGACTGATAGCCAAAGTATGGTACAAAAGGTCTTGTAAAGATATTTTTGTTAATTTAAATCTCCTCACTTTGTATGGTCTATACATTTATCAATTAATTATGCTTGTGAAAAATGATGTAAAGCACACAAATAAAAATAGTCAAATCCACAGGTACGACACGAGACGAAAGGATGATTTTCACCGTGTGAGGAGGAATTTCAACAAAACTGGCCGAAGTCCTTTTGTGATGGGGTCAATTTATTTCAACCTCCTACCAAACAATATAAAGGAATTAGAAGGCACTAAATTCAAAATTGCTCTGAAGAATTGGCTAGTTAAAAAAAGACCGTACTCATCAAAAATTTCAGATCTAACCGATTCGGCATAACAATTTGGAAAACTACATTTTGAGTGATCTAAGTTGAGCCCAGGTTTGTACACTAAGAGGTAATATTGTTTTATATATATTGAAATTGTATTCTTTTTTCTTTTATTTTGACATTGGTGACTTTTGTCTATGCATTGTATATATATGTTTATGGACAATAAATGATTTGATTTGATTTGATTTGATTTGAGGTTTAGCAGAACACTAGAGGGGCACGCGGGAGCCGTAGAGTGGCAAAAAGCCGCCGCTATAACATGGGAGAGATAGGAAGAAACGCGACGCACGCTGTTTCGAATTAAAATTGCCGCTAAACTTAGCGATAAATGCAGGATAGGACTTAGGAGGCCTAAGATAGGACCTGAAACTATCTTAACTAGGGTTTATAAAGTCCTGGTCTGCAAATTACAAGCCCACGGAATTAACCATCTATAAGAACTAAGATCAAATTTATGTTTAAATATGTTTTTCTTGATAATGACACGACATATCAATATTGAAATTAATTTTGTGTTGATTAGCTCTGACACTGTTTTAGAGCCAAAGTCAACTTGTTAATATGGTTGATTTGTTCGTTCCTTATTCAGTCCAGCTGTTCCCGTTCCTTCGATGGCTGTTCCTGTTGAGGATTTTATATAGACCTAGTATTGCTTTGTTTAGTGCTATATAATCAAATATCTGTTTAATATATCTTTTAGTATCACCTGTTTATGTTAGTTGTTCTAATATGTACGCAGTTTGAAGTGTTAATGTTTTAATATCTTTCCTTTTTTACATCAATTATTAATAAAGTATGTATTTAATTCCCTCATTTCATCAGTTCTGGTCATTGGGCTTTAAATAAATAACCCTTATTTTTAATTAAACAGCTCTTAGTAGTAAAAAAACGACACATCATCTCACACAATTCTATTAATTTCTAATTCTACATAGACTAGGTTTTGTATTCATTGATTCTACACTTATCCTTCAGTCATAGGTGGCGTCCCCAATATCAAAATCAATGATTGATAATTGTTCATAATTTACTCTTTAAAGGTAGATAAATAATACGAATTTTGCAACCAGTCTTAGTTTAAGCCGAGATTCCAGTACCTAATAAATCTACTACATTTGTTTGTACGCCAGTGGTATTTTTAATTGAGCCAACTTAAACCCTTTTAAAAGGAATTAAAGCGGTCCAAACCCATTGTGGCGGGGATTGAACTCGTTCCTCCCGCACTCAAGTCTGAGACGCTAGCCACTAGACTAGCAATGACTCAAGGCGTGAAGGTGTCATATTTTATATCTTACCTTATACGTTGGGCTATTAAATAATTATGCTGATGTTCAGTTAGTGACAAGATCCTAATTTGAACAGTCTCCAATCCAATAATACCCCAAACGAAGCAATATGAAAGGAAAGCATTATTGGTTTAATTTTTAAAAATAGCTAAGATTCCTGGTCGCGTCGGGGAAATCGTTGAAGACGTTGGGGTTGGACTGGAGCCTGTTAAATTAAACATGGACAGGATCAGTTGTCTGGTTGTAGTAGACTGTCTCCAGCGAGCCAGTGGCGCGTGTGGCCATCAATGGAGGCGGCGCAGTGACAAAGCAGAACTCTCACACCACTGCGCCGGCGCGTTGCTAAGGCGAAACAGATGCGCTCTGGCGCCGGCCGCCGGCGCAGTGCACATCGCCCACGCTGAGCTGCTAATTGGCACACCACACTAAGTACTCAGTGTGGCGTTCCGCAAGGATCAAACTTTGGATCAATATTGTTTTAACTATGTAAAGGTTTCAATGTTATTGATAAATCTGATGGTTCCGTTTTTATTTCGAGTTACAACTGACGATTCTGATCTTAACGACATGTATGATCTTAAATCTATATACAATAACTAGGTTACTGTAAGAATTGATTCATGACTGAAAGACACTGCTATCGATGGGGACTATGTCGTATGCAGTTGACATAACTTTAACTGTATTCTAAAACACACACGTCGATGCAAATTCAACCCATCAATAGATCAATTTTTTTGCGAAAAGGTTGTAGCCTTTGTTGTAGGTTGTAGGCTTTGTAATGAACCTTGAGTGAAAAGAAAACTGCTGAGACAGCTGATCTTTTGTTAGAAATACGTTTACAATTAACAAACATTATTTAGATGTCTAGAATCGTCTTTCTCCATTCGTAATACGTGACTTCGGAGTGTACTCTTAACTCTAGTTTTGAATGTTTATTGTTGGTTAATAAATTCGCAGAAATAAACCAGAGGGTCACCTCATCTCTTCCAAAACCTCCTCTAAAACAAGGCCGCGGCCTTGATGAGTGGCAACGTCGCAACGACCGGCCTATTGTAATGGCAATACTGTAACCATAGAAACAGACATGTAAACATAAACATTGCGGCGAACGCTTTATTATTACAAGATCCATTCCTGTATAGGCCGGAATTGCGGCGTTGCCACTTTGTCTCGCCGCAGCCTTGTATTGGAGGCATATTCTCAATACGCACTACTGTATTAGTTTTGGCAACTTACTACGATTGAAATTTACAGCCTAAGGCGGTTCCCAACAGCTTTATCATGTAGCTGCATTGTTGCCATCGTGTTGTAATAAGTGCTTAAGTGCTAACCTAGCTTGCTTTGGGCACTTAGCCACTTAGTGCATCTATGTTACCGCTATCGTGGGAAACTCGCTCGTTTGGGATTGGAAAACATTTTATCGGTCATTAGCCATAGCTTTTAACACTTTCGCTGTTCTGGCATTATAGTGTTGTAGATGGATGTTTATGTTGACTGTTGACTTTGTTTTGGTTTGACGACTAAATCTTAGGAGGTTTGCAGTTTGGTTAAAAATTATTATTTTCAGTATTTCCAAATGGAATTTTCGTAGTTTGATTCTTTAATACAGTATTGTTTTATTATAATTTTTAAGGATCGCCATATATCAAAATTACACCTTTATTAAATACTTGTTATACTTATAATATAGCTGAAGTCACTTGTAAGCATGTTTTAGTACGTATATGACTTGATTACTATTTATTCCTTGTTTTTATACCAACTTCAAAAATCTCAATTTACTAAAATATCTAATTACAGTCTGTCGATGTCCTCTGAAATTATCAATAAAGTAGTGCACTCAGGAAATTAGCGCACTTAAACGCTAGAACACAAAATACCCCCGCCGCAGCAAACCTGCAGACTAAGCGAATTTCAACTTGTCTGATTACATATTTACTAACATACTTCCATAAATAAGACATTTTTATTCCCAATTTAAATAACATTAGATGTAAGGAGTGCTTAGGTTTGCTGCTACGGGGAAGGTAAACAGTGTTTTTTGACCAAACAACAATACTGTAGGATGAAATAAAAAAGTTTGCCAAATTTGATCAACATATATCCATAAACAAGTAAACTACAACCGTTTTCATTTTCTCCATAAGAAAAACATGAGAATTTTAAAATTGCATTTTTTTGAATTTTCTCCTTGACCGTTAGGCATACAACAATGCTTCAATATACTAAATTATTTCTTTTTTAAGCTCTACAAAATGGTTGGGAAAGAAATTCTAAAATTTTATGTTTTAGGGTCAAAAATGGGGAAAACCCATTTTTACCCCATAAAACTCCCCATAAACCCCTGTTCCCATGGTCCGATTATGCTGGATCGCGAACTCGTTTGAATAAATGTAGGTTTACATGTTTGTACCTAATTTCATCAAAATCGGATCATTTTTGCTCGAGTTATCGCGCTAAAATATATATGAAAAAAAATATATATGAATTTGAACGGATGGTGTTTTTGGCCTCTAGGGACCAAGGGACCTTAAAAACGAAAAAAAATCGGTCTCGCGTCCAGGTCTTACCATGAGTACCACGGTAATAGCTTATTCCCTATATGGGAAATTCGCTAACACATCAAACAATAAACAGGAGGCGTCGGATACGTTAGAATTAGAGCTCTTGAATATCTAAAATTCCACTGAAAACTTTGAATATCTACTGTAAACATCCTTCACCATAGTTTAGGTAGGCCTACTATTAGTATATATTAAGGGCTTTGTCTACTTCTTTAATCTATACTATTAGTTAATAACAAATTCTTTAACCTATGTTCAAATCCAAAAAGCAGCACTGTCTTTTTTAGAAGAAAAGGGATGTATGCATAATATTAATCGTTTATTTAACTTTATTATAAACAACTTTAACGAATAGTCGCCTGCCAATTTACCCAATATACGAAAAAATAAGTTAAAATTATATTTTCTACATAATAGGCCTAAATGAGTGATGGAACTTTTGACTACAGTATTTGCAACTTACTTACTTAGTGTCATCATATGATTTTAATGTGTATTTAATTATTTATTAAGGTGCTGTTCATAATTCCTTGACTAAGAAAACGAAATGTTCTCTTTTTGCATGAAACGAATATGAACAAACACAAAGACTCTACATCAATTGTTGGTCCTTCGAGCCGGATATTGTATTCCCGACTTTAAAACTATCCATTGGTCCTTCGAGCTGTTTATAATTTTACTCTCTTTTATCTGAACCATTAACTTTAATAACATTTTATTGCCTTCTTTATAATCGTCTATCGGTACTTCGAGCCCAGATATTGTGTACTCCTACTCTGAAACTATCCAGTAAAAATCGTTACGTTAATTTGTACTAGTGTACATGTTGATCAAATTCGAGCAATTACAGAGTATTACAGGAGCTATTTCAAAACTAATAACAGTCATATTTACAATGTGAGTTTAAAAGAGTCAACTTAAAGATTACCGGTGTGTAACTCAGACCATGTTTATCTTCGTTATTGATAATCCTAAAGCATTCCGGCCGGTTTTCTCCTTCTCAAAATGCCTCGCTGTACAGGCAACACAGGTCATTGATAGAGGGCCAATTGAGAACGAAAAGTCGTTTTGGGGTAGTGTTAGGGCGCATTTGTAACCTAATAGTTGAGATTGTCCAGGGTCAGGTGCTTACGCCTCCTGTCTATGTTTCGTTTGTGTCGCTTGGGAGGCATTAAAAAACAACAACCACAAATTATAGCTACACAAAACAACGATAATTGCACAAATTTTAGTTACAATCATGCTAACACGATCCGTCATAGCGACACAAAACAACGAT